GTGTGTGTGTGTGTGTGTGTGTGTGTGTGTGTGTGTGTGTGTGTGTGTGTGTGTGTGTGTGTGTGTGTGTGTGTGTTTTCATACCCACACACAAAACCTATTTAGGCTAAAAGAACCATCATTTTCCCCCTACAAAACATGTTTAATAAAATTAAATATCTGCACATCTCCTGGTAAATACCACAGGAGCAGCTTCTGCCACTTTTACTTAGACTGAGTAGTACTTTACTTTGTGAGGAGTCCCAAATCAGAACCCACCGTGCACTCACTTCAAACTAGTGACAATAACTTTACAAGGTATATGGCATTGGTGAATCAGGCTTGTACAGGCTTGCAACACTTATTACTGGACACAGGGCCAGAGTCAGCAAAGTCCTTAAGCATGTGCTTAAGTCCATCCATATCCAGCAAAGCTCTTAAAAGAATGCTTAAGTCACAGGGACTTAAGCACATGCTTAAAGTTAAGGACATGTTTAAGACTTTTGCTAACTTGGAGCCATGATGCATACTAGTGAGTGAGTAGTCCCACTGGCATCAATGTTCCATTTGGTTCAATGAAACTAATCATATTACTCAAGCAGTGCATCCAGTGCAAAGTGTTTGAAGAATTCGATCTTTAGAGCCTGATTCACTATCACCTTGGAATTGGATTAAGCTAATTCAGAACAAGAGAGTCCATACATGGAGTTAATACATGGAGTCAATGAGGAATAGTTAGTCCACTTTAAATTCACACCTTACTTTGTTCTGGATTGACTTTCACATGTAGACAAGCCCTTACTCCAGTTTTTATGCCAGTGTAACTGCACCCAGAGCTGTGGAATTGCACCAGCATAACAGTGCAGCAAGACAGTGGTGAATCAGGCCCTCGTAGTATAACCTTTTAGCAAGCGGTATTAAAAACAGGACCTTTATGTCTTCAGGAAGTTTATGCAATATGTTGGTCATCCAGTAAATGTACTTCATTACTATGGTTGCAAAAACAAATTCCAAATTCTGAAAATATGGTTGACAAAGCTAAGAGTAATTGAATGATTCATGGCTTGCATTAGATTAACAAATGCACTATGTGAGAAAGACCTAGTGGGATGCATAGATTTTTAACACATTTTAACAACAATAGATATGCTTATTAGAACTCATCAGCTATACTGTCTCTTATCCTTTTAGAGCTCTTTTAAATTAATTATTTCTGTCTGTCTGTCATAACTAAGGACCCACAGTTATGAGTTATTACTACTTAAGAATTGCCCAAGCATCAAGGCTGTTTAGAAAATGTAGGCCAGAGGAATGAGAGAAAAAAAGATCCCACAGTCTAATGGCAAGATTTCTTCAGACTGTCTGAGTTGCTGCAGTCTTTTGCAAGAGTGTACTGCTCAGGCAGCTAGAGAGATTTCCCGTTTTTTTTCCTGTCTGTGAATGAATGAATGAAATTTTTTTTATATCAAATGTCAAGGTATTATATGACGTGCTAGATAAAGTAATGAAAAATAGGGAACTTGATAGAATCTAATATTGTGATTAAATGAAGTTTATCTGTATAAAAGAGAAGTCAACTATAAGTGATACAGCTTTGGGCAAAATGCTGTAAACTTTAATGGCAGGATTTACAACCTCATAGGCAATCCTGTTAGGGAAGAAGTGGTTGTGTTTATATAGATTTTTTTGTAGTTTAAGTAATAAAGTGAAGAACTAAGGCTAATACTTTCACTCAAACATTCTTATGTTATCAAGTTAATGAAATACACCTGTGCTGAAAGAGGCAGTAAATAAAAAGGAACTGAAACTAAATAGGGTGTTTATAAGGACACTTGATCACAGAGTAGAATAATCAAAAATATAACTGTTTGATTAACAATGAACAGACTCAGTTCAGCCATATGTACCAAGATCCCACCCTTGTTGTTAAAACAAGGAGAACAAGTATGGAAGATGTATACAGCTGTTCCAGCCGGCTGGAAAACAACAGTCTTTGAAGTGACTTTGCATTTTATAATGGACTGTTAAAAC